CTCTTCTCCTCAGCCAATCTCACCAAGGCCTCAACGAACTCGCTGTAACCAAGAGCCTCTCGGACGAGGAAGGACGTCATCGCCTCATGAGGCTTTCGTTGGAAGCCAAAGTATTGACCACAAATGGCCGAGGCATTTGGAATCGATCTCCTCACAAGCGGGGAGGCAGCTAGCCTCTGCAGGAGAACCTTCGTGCCGTCATACTCGTCCAGGGCCATGTCGCTCCATGACATCGCAAGCAACCTTGCTGGTCCCGTCAGGCGACTCAGCAACTTGGTAGCGACATATCGCCGCTTGGAGATGGGCGTAGCCCTGAAGTACCATGAAACCTCCCGCGTGTAGCGGCGCCAGCTTTTGGCAGAGCCGTCCCAGGAAGGGACAGAGAAAGCATCCTTGTCGGCCATCTTGACCAAACTCCAGGGGGAAAATCTTCAGCAAAAAGGGCCTTGCCGCGCAAGGTCAGGAGAAATGCAAAAAGGGGCAGCAGCTAGCCACACAACCAGTCTCAGCGAAGACCTTCTTGAACTTGTTCAGGATGTAGTGGCAAAAGCTGCGAGGTCGCTGGAGCAACGTGCTCCGCTACCATGTAGCGGGTGGAGCACAAGTGGAGCGTATCGAGGGGCTCAAACACAAAGTACGAACGAAGTCCGGACAGCCGCAATGGCTACGATTTTCCGCCGACCGCCGTGGTCGAGTCAGTGCTCGAAAGGGGCCCCTGGATTCGGGCCAAGTGGCATGGAGAAACATGGATGCAACAAAAGCTCAAGCTCAAGGCCATGGAACCTGCAGAATCCCAAGAAACAGCACGCCTATGGTAGAGAATCTATTGACTAAAGATGTAGACTTCTCCAATCATCTCCCCACTTGCCCCACCCCACCCCATCCCCTTCCCCCTCTCCAAGGAGCAAGACCGTCCCCCATCCGACCGGAAGGCCTGCTTCGAGAACGTCCGGAAGGTGCACGAACTGCGTCCGGAGAAGCACCTCCTCGTCACAGAGACCTGTCACTTGGAGACCTCGTCACTCGCGAAAGATTTGCGAAAGATAGATATGTGGAAACAGATTCCATAATTCTGTAGTTTTGTTTTTCTCCTCTCCCCCGCGAAAGTGAAGATTGGAGTTCGCGGAAGATTCACAAAAGTGAAGATGCTCAAGAAGATTGTGTATTTTGGTCCGAAGGAATTCAGATCAACCACTGTATATTGGTTTGGTTCGATGCTTTGTGACAGCAAAGGTGGATGATTATGTAGAGAGACATGCATCTCCAACCTGGATTGCCCGCTGGTAGTATAGCAAAAAACATCGAACAACTCGGGGCCGATCCATCCAGTGACCGATACCAGGTGTGACACCATCCATCCAGCGACGGCCGATCCGTTCAGCTGTTTGAGCTGATGGCGATCTGATGGCACCGTCTCTCCATTGCGCTCAGATCAAGGACCCTCCCTGCAGCAAAGTATGGAAGTAGAGTTCACCCCCTGTTTGACCGATTTCATGGTCTTTCCAGGGGGCCATTCCATTTAGAACCATGCCACTTCCACTTCCATTGGAGGGGCCCCCTGTGCACCAGAACCCTGCGCGACTACGCACGAGGTCGAAACGCGCAGCACGCACCGAGGTCAAGAGTGTGGGGCTCACTTGGGTGACTGGTCCTTGGCCGAACGCTATGCGGAAAGCACCTGGGACGAAGCAGCGGGTTCAGCACCACTGCGTTGGTACGTTCCTTTGTTTTTTTTCATGCTGCCCACCAAGAAGAGGCAAACAAAAACATTTGGTCAAGTCATCGTGGAGGTTTCATTTCACAAATTATTATAGTTATTTAATGTTATTTATAATTTGTTTGCACCAGTCCAGTCGTGCAGGACTTGCTCTACATTGCTATACCACCAGTGGGCTTTATGAGTATACTTTCCTGCCACATCATAATCATTGACCCGGTCTCCAAGGCATTATAAAGGACTTCAACAACTGGTGCGAAGCTTGGGTTGCACCTTGGCCAAGCGAACTCCGCCCAAAGCATTTGGGCATGGCAGGAACGAACCGTGATCGTCACATGACGTTGAGGGGAGTGGTCGGAGTGGTTGGTTTTATTTTGCAAGTTCCACCAAGCTCCTTCAAGCTGTTGGGATTGAGGGGCGAGAGACAAATGGTCGACTTGAGCTGCTTATCCAGGGTGTTCTTTGTCGGTCCCTCCCTGGTCACATTCAGATGCATCCAAATCACATGTTGCACCTCTGTTTGGTTGAACACAGACATAACAAAACGATCCTTTGCATTCCATCTCGGCAAAGCCCTCAAAAAATGGGTCTTCCCGATTCCCACCTTCGATACGCTGGAAAAGGAGTTTGATACGCTGGAAAAGGAGGTTGAATCTGTTTCGCCGCCTCAGCGAAACCACCGCCCGTCGAGGATTGGAATTTCTTGCTCACCCTGGAGGGTGGTCCCAACCACGTGGGCAACCATTGCTCGGCACCGGTGCTGGCCGACCTGGAGAAGGCAGACCATCTCCCATGCAGATCCGATCAAGAAAAATCTGGACCCGGAAGCCGCTGCGAAGTGGACTTCTTTTGGAGTCCCAAATTTAGAGAATGGATCGTTTATGGTTAGACTAGCTTGACCTATGAATTAAAGGTCGAACCCAGCTCGTTCAGGAAAAGGGTGGGAAAGCAAAGTGACGCCAGGTTCGAGGTGTTTGTAGATGTCCATATTTATGTAGTTTTGATGACAGCATCAACCGACGACTTCAAAGTAGATAGTGAGATCGTGCTTGAACCAAAGCCAAAGGGAAAGTACATGTGTTTAGGCGACCAAAGTGGTCCCTCATGACCCTCATATGTCTATATATATATTATATAGATTATAGAGGACAGAAGACCAAACATCATTTCAATACAAGTGACCTACTGTACCACCAAGTCTTGAGAGTTTAAAGCCTGACAAAGTTGATGGGAGAATTCCCTCGCAGACAACTGATTAAGCAAGACACAAATGATACAGCAACCAAAAGAACATGACATGTTCTTAATGTATCTCAATGTTTTCATTTGGTGTTGTTTGTTTACTTTGTTGTACACGGCCTTTGCACTTGTTGTGTTTCTCCTCCCAGGTCATGTAATTGTTTCACGAAGGATCGCTTCATTCAGCTATATTCCAAGTCGGGGGTCCTCACTCGAAGTGAAATTGGATGCCAGGATCGAGTGATCTTCAATCCCTCCTACTTCGCCTTTGGCCACTTTTCCAGGTGGGATGATGTCCGTGTAACAAGGTGGGCTACTGGACAGTATTAGGACACGAGCTGCTCGGTGGAGGCCAGAAGCAAGTATAGCTTGGAGGCCAGAAGCTACGTCCGTATCGCTACTAGTAACAGTTTGTGACATCAGGTGTCCCAACCAACAGATCAGCAGAGATTGTAACCCTGTAGAACAAGTGGACTTGGTGAAGATTGTTCAGTAACCACTGGAAAGTGACACCTAGGTGACAAACGAGGTTTGGAGATGTTTCCTGGTTTCCAGGTAGATAGTAGATTCTGTCAGTATTTGCGTGTGAGCCAGACCATATGAAATACATTGAAATACATGTACTTTATTGAACACTATTTTAATCTATGTTATATTCATATAGATGTTTCATGCTACAGGGACTTGAACATACCTGAACAATTTTGGAACCATGGTTTCAGCAGGAAAACCTTTAAGTCCAAAGGATTTTCCCCCCACGCACCCCTGATGCCCAGATGAATCACCCACAGCTGACCCACCCAAGCCAGTGCTTTCCGTTGTTTTCTACCTATATATACCTAGACAGTCCGGCACTTTACTAGGTCCGGCGCCGGACTTCCAACTCCGGTGTTTTCTGGATTTGGTCTGGCAATTGTTCCAAGTCACTTTATGTGGATTCTCAAGGCTTTGCGTTCTGTGTGGTCCGCATTTCTTTGAAGGTAAACCCACTACTGATGCAATGATTTTGCTTGCAAAGTGTGCTCGTTTGCCTGTTCCGCTGTTTTCTCATTCCACCGGTTTCAGCATGGCTCACACTGGATCAATCGGATCCGCTTAGGTGATCTTCGCAATGAAATCGGATGAAATCGGTACAGTGCGATGCATGTGTTGAAAGACCCAAGTGGGTGTACCTAAGCTGAAAGACATAGGCGAAAATGTACTCCCACTGTTTCAGCATGTCGGGGCGCCGGAATATAGTTCTAGCTGCGCAGGTTTGCAGAGCCTGCCGGACAAGTTTTGGGCTGTGGAACATGTGTTGTTCAGAATCTCAATGTTTTGCAAAGAACTGCTAAAAAATGGCGCGTCGTAACTCCGGTGTAATTTCCCGTAACTCCGGCATTATTTTTTGGGACTCTGTCTTCTGAAGGGTTTGAATTTTGAAAATCAGAGTTTTGACAGGAACCATGAGTATTTTATTGGGGGGGGCCGTCCTGAGGCAAGCTTTAAAGAATCATTAAAAAGCATAAGAGTCATGGAGAGCAACCCATTTCTTTAAAGCACTCTAGAGACACGGTTGCAGAGAAAGAGGGGCTCCTTGCCACATACTCTGACATACTCCTTGGTTTCTTCTTGGAAGTCTTTGCTTGGGCACAAGTTTGCTTATATTTTGTGATGGTTCTGCTCTTAGGCCATTCGGAAGATGGGCGAGGGCAATGGGAACGGGAAGGCTCCAGTGTTGGGTTGTGGAGTGAGTGTGCTCCAGAAAAACTACTCGTGGCGCAAAGGCGGTTTGCTTGTGTATGATCAGCTCTGTTTTTCATCATCTTGGATCCGGATGTTTTTTCAGGTCTCCGGCGTTTTTTCGGAATCCGGCGGCAAATTTTGCCGGATTGAGGTCCGGCACTTTTTTCCGCCCAAAGGAGGATCTAAGTATACATGTTGGGCCCAAAGCAACCAAACATCAATCCAAAATGCAAGGTCCTGGTTTGCTGCGTTTTGAATTTTGCACACCTGATTTGCTTTACCCCACTTCCACTTGGCGGAATCTGCCGACTCTGTCCTCAGTTTTTGGGGGCCAGCGCGGCCCACCGTCCCACCGGGTCACCGTCGATTCTCCCATGGCGCACTGGGCGCCCCGCGGTTTGCTGGGCGCCGCCGTGTTGCTGCGGACGCTGGCGGCGTCGCAGTTTCTGCCGCCGGGGACGACGGATGTTCCAATCCAGAGGCATCGGCATCGGCATCATCGATCCGGTTGTTTTTGGTAAAGGTGAGGCGGGTGAGGCAGAGGAAGTCACAGTAGGCGGATGAAGTCACTGAACTAATTATTGAGAAGGTGCCGGTAGAGATCCCTGAACATCAATTGTATATATAGAGGAAACGGTCTTCCAGGGGCCCATAAATTGTCAGAGTCTATGTAAGTTTTCTGGAGGGCAGCCTTTGGGATGTGGAAGATGCGTAGGAAACGGTGGCCAGATGGCTGCATGTTCGTGAACTCGAAACATGTTGGTTGGAATCAAGAAGTTGGCGCGTTTGGTTTGTTCAATTGTTCCATGATGGTGCTATATAGGGGAACAACGATCAATAGATATGGATGTTTTCATGAAACAGGAAGACCTCAGGTGGATTTGCAACCAGCGAGCCAGGGTCACGACATAGAGAGCAGTATAGTCGAGGCCCAATGGATCCCAGTGATTTCACATGTTCATGAACTGATCGACTGAACCTTTTCTTCTTAAAGTGTCGAGTGTCGACTACACTTTAACGAACTCATCCCATGGAAGTGGATGGCATGGTCCCTTGGAAGGCTACTGTCCTTTACGACCAGGGGGTTGTCCACTTTCATGTTGGTGAGTCTGAGTGTAGGTTGTATAGGATGGTAGGGTCTCTAGGATATTGTTTCAACTGCGGTAGGTTGTGAAACCCACATGGCATGGTCCACCTTCTCAGATCACACAACATGAACCAAGTTGAACGAAGAAAACTTGACAGCAACGACAGGCTCAGAGACAAACTTACAAGCATTCATTCTGGAAACAAATTCAAAAGAGACCAAGCTGATTGGCACTTTGCACTGAATTCAGGAACACACGCACACAGGACTCTGAACAGACCTTAGACTCATCAGCTTCACCCTGGAAATTGCTTCAGAGCATTTCAGAGCATGTGTTTCACTTTACCAGTTTTGTTGCATTTTTCACCCAAGCACTGGATCGAAATCGAACTAACATAGCAGCTCTTTCGGAGTCATGTCAGCCCCGTGGCTTCTCATCACTGGAGGCCAGGGGACTGCAACCAAGTGGGCCCGGCCACCTACGTCTATCGCATGTCGAAGGTGGAACCCAACGACTATTTCCCGACGCTGGGGCGATGGGTTCGGGGGACATGGACCGAAAGGACTCATCGACTCGTGGGACGCCCAGATACTCGTGGGACCGATACATTCTTCCACGGGGAAACCTACCAAAACGGCATGTGGATGTTCTGCAACAAAGTGCCGATACGTTCTTTAGTGATCTTAGTGAATGTTTCCTAATTGCTGCACTAGCATGATTGGCTTGGAAATTGTCTCTCGACAGTCCAGGTGGCATTAGTCATGGAGTCAGCAGGGCATCGAATCATATGATATTGTCATCGTTGTATTAAATACAATCTACCCTACCCTAGAATTTAATCTAAGGGCCCACTAATGATCTCGTATTCAATACGTAGCTTTAGCCAACCCTCGTAGTGTGACTCCAGATTGGCCGGTAAGTTGGTTGACAGTTTGGATTCTTTGAGGAAACACGGGTTCTTTGGCATATAATCCGGAATCTGTGGGACTGATGCTTAAAAGGAGTGCCCTCTATGGACAAAAAACAACAAATAACCTAACGAATACACACACCCGCTTTGCCATGAATAGATGGATACATCATGATAAATGACTACGGAGATGGATGAATGTATTAATACAATACAAATCCTCCATCTCAGCCACTTGCCGCCTCGCTCAAAGCACCCGCTCTCCCGCCACCAATCGCACCCGTCGCAGAACGCGGCCGAGGAAGATTTGTTCCAAGATGGGTGGGGCCTCAGTCCGCTTCAACAATCCTTGCGCATGGGCGCACGGCCAGGTGCGGCTTCGGGACAAAACCACATGGCCTTAAGCCGAGCTTTCTTTGGACAAAGCTGAGTTTTTTTTTCATGGACGGTTGGAGGGTCCATCAAGATTTTGACGAAGAATGACATGTTTCTGGTCCATGTTGCTTCTTGGCAGTATGTCCACCCCCCCTTGGGTGAGTTAGTTGATTTGGGTCCACCAGCAATTACATATAAGACATAGAAAAACTGTGAATGTTGACTTTGCATCTCTGGGGTTCATTCCTTTGTTGTTAGGTTTTTTTCTGCGCTGATTCTGTCAGTGATTTCACAACCGGTAAAGGCATAGCACAGTGGTCCTGCTGGACGCCGTCATAGCGAGACCACCAACTCAGTGATTGACTTCTCAAGTCATTGTCTATGCATGTCTATGCTAGGAAGGACAGCATGTCACAGCTGAGCTGGGGTTGGTAACCCAGGACCCATTGAGCTGGGCTGACTTCATTTAGCAACTTGTTTCGGACATTGTTGGCTGTGTGTGTTTTTTCTGTCCCCAACACAAGGTTGACATCATACCCAGCGTTTTGGAAGACCTCTAGAATCAAAAAAAACATGCATAGAGCAAACATACTCATCGATCTTGTCATCCTAGTTGTCAATCCACCGGTCCATGAACGCTACTAGTAACAGGTGCATGTCTATTAGCAACAAGAAGCTACTAGTAACAAGGTGCATCGCTACTAGTAGCCAGGACGCTACTAGTAACAGGTACATTTCATGCGCCGCCGCCGATCACCGCCAGGCCCAGATGACCGCCGCGCACTTTACGAACATGTGCAGCTCAGCACGAGTCAAAGGACCCCACAAAAAAAGAGAAAACAAAAACCATAAAAGAACGAGTCGTTCACATGTTCCGTGTTTCATAGTGATATATTACAGTATATACCTGGACCCCCAAGGCGTGGTTAATGGACACCCCTTGACCTCTAAGGGGCTATTACTGGACACCCTTTCAATGATATATATCATTGCTGTATTGTACTGTATGTCAGGCTCATTCTCTAGTGGATAGTGCCCTGAGAACTCGAATGGCAGATCCATCATCCTTTCTCGTCCCATTTGTAAGTTGCTTCATTCATTTTCTCTTAGGGGCCATCCTTCTCATTCTCTTCCGGGTGCATCATGCGTGAACCTTTACCAACAGGTTGTCAGATGTCCTTCCGGCCCACATTGTTTGGAGAAGCCAACTTGTGTGCGTCCTCCGTTTTTTTTCCATTTGCCACTCTAATTCCGTTTTGCACCATGGAAGCCTTCCCTTATCAAGTTTCTTACTCCCCTTTTTGTTGTTGGTTCCTTCCCTTCATCAACATACAATAATAGTAGTTCTTTTTTGGTGATTGACATGTGACCAACGTAGAGTTGGAGAAGTATACTACACTGACTATACTATTGGTTTAAATCTCATGTGGTGGGATTGCGAGGCTACCTTGCACTGAGAAACTTCATGAAACTTCACCCCCAAAACTGTGGACGTTTGGAAGGCCTTGGTATCAAGACTCTTCTAGACTGTTATCTTTGTTACTTGTCGGAGATCGAGTCAATTAGGAACAGCCCCTGCGTTTGCAGGTTGACCATGTTTGCTTCTCCAAACCCCGCAAAACTCGAAACCCAATCCGCAGGCCTCACCCCCGAGGTTTGCTTCTATAATTATTCTACTTCCTTGGATGCTTCACTTCGGTTCTATTCATGAAGCGTGAACCTTGTTAAGAGCCTAAGGCCGCCGGGTGCCTAACTGCTTGCTCAGACGTGGCACCGTTGGGTTGTTTGAGGCAAGGGTGCTACAAGGATGATACATTGGCACACGCAAGCGGACGAGTGGGGCTTTGTCTCCGGGCGGCAACTGAAGTTTTTTTGGGCTGAATAGAATTTAGGCACTACCTAAGCCTATAGGAAAGAGCCTTGCACTTTGTACACCGCAAATTGCGTTGTGTTTTCATTCCTTTCTTTTGAGCGCCAGAGCGACAAGTGTTTCACAACCTGATTCGCAAGAAGAAACAGCCGGCAGCACGTGTTCCCACACTCAACACATCCCATGGAGCAAATCTGTTTTGGACGTGAAGCGCCCCTCAATGATGGGGTATGTTTGTCATATGATGTCAAATGTGAAAAAAGCGGAGGGTGCCGCAACTTTGGCAACAGCAGCATTGTTTGCGTTGGTGGAATCTTCAGCACGACGATTTGAGGATGGTCGTCCAAATGAAAGTAAGGGAGTCAGCCACAGTCCGACTGGGGGAATGTCCAATTGAGCTCAATTGAAAGTCATTTGGGGTCTCGGGTTGGACCCCCATTGTGTAAGGGACATATTGGTACTGAGTTTGGTCGGTGCCTAGAGATGCGGTCGGTGCCATTCGTTCCTTGGTGTAGTTTCCTTAGGGGGATTGGACGACATGAACGTCACGGCTCGGTCTCCACTCTTGAAAGCGTGGGAAACAGCGTTTTGGCCGGTTCATCGTTGCTTCCGGTCCACTCTTCAGTTCGACGTTAGGACTCACATGTGACTTTGCTTCTTTCTGTTGTTGTTTTTTTAAAGCAGTTTCTGCGTGGATTTTTTGAGAGATTTCTGGCACGGATGGGAAGGTGAGCAAGGGCCGCTTGATGACTTTTGTGGCCAGTCCTGATGGCTTGCCATGGCCAAGCTCCACCAATGTCCTGCGACTGGGCGTGCAGCGGGAGCCTTGCGTGGGCGGAACGGGTGGCCGGAGCAGCCTAATTTTTTTTTGTGTTTTTCTTGTTACTACTAGTAAGGCACCTGTTACTACTAGTATGGCACTTGTTCCTAATAGCTTCTTGTTACTAGAGCAAACTGATCAACTCTCAAGTTTTTTTTGTATTCTTTTGGTTCACAAGGTCATTTGTTGCCAGAGTCCTCACAACGAGGTTTGTGAGAAGTTTGACGGCCCTGCCTTTGCAAGGGCTGAAAGGAATTGTTGACGTAGCTACGGGTCAAGCAGCCCAATCACAAACACCGTATATTATTAAGTATTTTAATACGACGATAGGGAAGGAGAATGCAACAGTTAATCGAACAGATCGACATCACGACATGGCAGCACATCACAAGCTATATATGAAAAACACAATATATGCAGGCATTGCGTTACAGTAAGCGTTGCAACAGACTCCCAATTGCGTTGCATTGCGTTGCATTGATAATCGATTTGTTATGTTCAAAGAACAACGTGCCACAACACATCGGACGGGCACTCACTCTCTTCGACATCACAGCCTCACTTGTTGGGGCGCACCCGGGTGCATTGGGAAGGTGTCATCAGACCACATCCAACAAGATCAAGTAATCCTATCAAACACCTCTAGTTTTCAAGCTGAAACTTCCGCCCACTAGCCCCTGCGAGTATTTGCATGATACTGATACTGGATTCAGAAGTGAAGGGAAGGTTTTTCGAGGCCACTGGCAGGCCATGGCGTCACAATGGACTTGTGAGCAGATTCGTCGGGTGCCAAAGTCGAGGTCTCCTCGTGGTGTGTGGTACTTTCCCTCCAATTGGCTCCATGGCTTGCTTTGTGCCTTTGGCTTGCTTTGGCGTTAGATTACAAAAAATGCCAAGGGGGCGGAAAGTTGTTTACCATCTAGAGAAGGATCCTTTTGGAAGTGCGTTTGATTGATGTCATAAAAGTGTTCCTAGGGCAAACTGACTGCTGTAAACGGCATGTCACGTTGTCCTGTTTCTGTTTTTCTTGGAGCATGATGAGTTCATCGCCCATGTTGAAAAAGTCATCCAGCCCTGAGTTGCTGTTCTCGATTGGAAGCGGCTTTGGACAGGTTGAGCTGCACATGTACCCAGACATTCAATGTATACTATATACTATGCATGGAGTGTCTCCTACGCCGCACTTGCAACTTGCAATGGCAAGGAATTCAGGACCGGAAGCTGGTGACTTTTGGACAAAGTTTGACGCTCCCTATGGTCCCTACACGACAAAATTTGCGTGCATTACCACTGCAATGCGGTGGTTTCTTTCAGGGGTGAACAGCTAAAAGATGCTAAAAGCATACATATTAAGTCTCTGCTTGGGGAAAAGGCGTCGACGGCGTGAGGCCGGCGGTTTCTCTGAGGTTTGACGCCGGAGGAGGAGGGCGGATGTGATGCTTGGCCACGGAGAACCACTGGCGGCCATTCGATGTTTCATCTCTTCGGACGTGTCCAGGAGGTTTTTCTGGTGCTAATTGCAATATTAAAGTCAGTTCATGAACTTTGTGCCGGCAACTTCACGAACTTAATGATTTTGTATTGTGAGAAGTTTGCATTCTGTTTCGAGATTTGCATCAATTACGTACACATTGTTAGACCATTTTGCACCCCCTTTTCTGTGCCTTTTGCTCGTTTCCTCCCAACCGGTTTGCACTCTTGTCGCACCCGTCTCGCGCCGGTGTGCCATCGCTGAGGAGTTCACCATCATTTTTGCCTCACCGCAAGCAGCTGAACCCAATGGCCACAACCTGGACACCACCTTTGCACAGGTGGAACCCTTTTGGGGCCATGTGAACGATCGCAGACTCGCAGACGACTCGCAGACCCGTTGGTGGCCATCGGTGGCCATGTGCTTTTGGTGGCCATCGGTCGCCACATCCATTGGATGGTGGTTGATATGGGGGGTGCTTTTTTGCAGGCCAAAAATGGACAGATCCTTTGGGTCCCTTAAAAAGGGACTTTCTAGCTCCGATGCAATCCACTTTTCTTGGCAAAGAATAGCAGGAAGAAAGATTGTCACCCATGTTTTGGGGCATTATTCCAATTGAACAACTTCAAGAACGCCATTCTAACAACATAAGTCATCCAACAGATTGGGCCAACTAGGCCGGCTTCAGTACGGCATGGCGCGTTCCACCATATGGCTTTAGGCAAAAGACCTTCGGTCCTCGGATCCTTCTCTGGCAGGCGGACGACGACGTGGCGGCCCAAGCCCTGGATTTGTCACTGGCGACCTATGAGGCGTCAAGGCATGGCTGGACATCAGGGCAGGGCATGGTGGCTCAGTTTGGGAAGTGGTTTTATCGCAGATGGCCGGGTGGTTGGTGCTAACTTGTAAGTAAAACCCGTGAACCATGGTGAAAAACTATGTCAGGATCGGGAGGTTAAGCTATGTGTCAACTAGCATCCCACTTGGTCGAACCCTTTAGGAGTCTTTTGTTAAACTAGCTGGACATCAATTCCTCAAAAGGAACATGGTTTGTGGGTCGCTCGGAAGACACTTGGAGATCCTGCGATCACGAAGACCGGATCCGGTGACGTCCGGGCCTGCGGAACGATCAGTAACAAGGACCGCTATGCTCGGTGGAGGCCATCGCTACGTAGGAACAAGAAGCTACTAGTATCACAGGGTGAAGCAAGTACATGCTCAACAGGATCAAATGACTGGGGCGATGGGTGGCATTGGCAGAATGAGGCAGGGAAGAGAGGGAAGATGGATGTTGGGGGATTGACACTCCATGGGGCGGAAGATGGCTATATTGATCCCTGTTCAAGGTAACCACCCCCCAAAAGCAGTTGAATTATAGTATAGTTGAATAATTATGCCAGTCCCATTGGTCGTGTTTGGGCTATCTTTGTAATCCAGTGGCCCAGTGGTGCATTGTCATTGGTGCTGCAGCCAGCCAGGCCCGCCTTCGGCAGAGCAAAGCATTCAATCCACTATAGCAATCGCAACATGACAGCTCCGATTGTCACTCGGACTTGCCAGTGCCAGACGGGAACATCCTCAATTTGTAACTGTAAGGGTGTCCGCATGCTGCCTCTGGTCGTTTGGTCGCTGGCCTTGGTCGGTTTCGTTGTGAGGCATTGGATCGAACATGAAGAGTTCTTTCACTGACCCTGAATTGAGTGTTTGCGATTTAAACTCGCGCGCGTTCCGAATTTGGGTGCGCATGGTTTGCATGACAAATCCAGATAATGTGCATTTTAGAATATGACAAATCCCGGAATCATGCCATGTAGTTTTGTATGCATTAGTGATTTTCCAGGTAATTTGAATCTCCATATGTGAGGGACCTAATTTGGGTTGTGTCAGATTGTTTGTATACCATTTGCCAGCAAGGTTCCCAGACCCCTGCTGAAGTACTATTGGGTGGTCATCGCATCCGCATCAGGCGAACTGCAAACTTGGTGTAACCCTGAAAGCACCGAGTTTGTTTGGGTAAAGCATGGCGTTTCTTTGAGTTGAACATCACATGGGTAAAAAATAAAGGAACAAACATGAAAGAATCCAAATCAAGCCAGTCAACACCATCGTGTGACCGTGACCTTGCCAGCCATGGTCGCACGAGTCCTGAGCAGGTTGAGTGTACGTGCTGACCGTACACACAAACCAAAGACACAAACCAAAGCCACCTGCCAAGCCCGAGCAACTCTAGCCTTAAATGATACAACATGCCAGTGTCAGTGTCCATTTTCCAAAGCTGGTTTGAGTATTTTCGCAACAACATCTAGGAACCAAATGAGAAGCATGAGCTATCCTGCCTAGGAGCGTCCAGTACCTATAGCTAAGTAGCTAAGTAGCTACTGTACCTCTGCTCTAGCGACGCTCCCCCCCAGGGTTAAACAACTAAAAACACCTCGCAGAACGTTGCGGCCAAAGATGTTTCACCGAACGTGCGGAACCCGAAATCGGCGCCACCTCGGGCCCGTTGAAACAAGGTCACTGCTGTGCTGGGTGGCGAGTGCGATCCAGAATGCCCTCCAATTCAAGCGGCTCGGTGGTGAACGGAGCGGGATCCGCTTAACTTCGGGTCCCAGTGAAACTGGCACAAATCGTAGCAGGTCCTTGCAGGTCCTTGGTGACTAAATGATGCATCTGAGAAAACATGCTTGGACCCGATGTGAAGGCAGTGTACTGACTGGGTTTATGGCCATCGGTCCAATCCCCACTTTTGGGTACGGCAGGCTATTATGGATGCATGCAGGACTTCTCCCGGAGGAGACCGGCCATCGCCCCGAGGAGACGGTGGGGGCCCCTGCGGCGGTTCAATCCTTCGTGGAGCAGAAGGTGCTTTTGCCCCACACGGAGGGTGTGACCTTGCGCCGCGGCAGAACCGATGATGATGGAGCGCTCGGTGGTGCATGGGCGCTCGATGATTTGGAGTTGATATGTTGTTTCTCAGTTGACCACGGGAAGCGAACCATATACACTGATAGATTACATATAGATTACATAATTACAGAGATCGAGCCCAAGGGTGTTTGTTATCTAAAACATGTCAATCTCAAAAATCAATCCAAATCCGGATGATCTAGAATCTGGACAGGCAAGTCTTTGCGATTGATCGAACATGATTCAACTCTGAGATCAGAGAGGCTCAGACAGGCTGTGACTGATCCCTGCAGAGGTATCGCATCAAGACGGACCAGTTCCCCTTCTCCCGCACGATGCTTCTCGATTTTGATCCACGTGAGTGTCTACAGCATTGCCGATGCTGACCCAGACCTTCGTCTCGTAGGGAACTCACAGACGTTTTGTTCGGCATCATCCTCTCTTTCCCAAAGTGCTGGATTGTATAGACATGTATAGATCGACAGTTTGACGATGTTTGACTCTAATTCAGGGTGACCAACATGATCAACATTGAATTCATCTGTGCGTTGAAACAAAGACGGTTCAACACGCAGCATCCGCTGTTGGGTGGCAACGTTGGGAACCAATGTCTTACACGGCAAGGCAACATATACGGCAACCCAAATCCGGGGTCGTGATGAAGAGTGATGTTTGGAGCTGATCCATTTTAAGCAATAAGGACTATACAGGGGAAGAAAACATAGGTAAATTAGGACAGAGAAACATCCACAAGTACCCGGATAGACAAAGAGAGAGGGCCCTCGGTCGCGTTTTTCGAACGTTTCGCGCGACCGCCCCAGCAGCCGTCGTCCACTGAGGTCCCAGGAGCGCACCGAGCTGGCGCCTGGCGCCGTACGGCCGCTGGTGTGGACCACAGCAGTGCCCTGGAGCGGTCGGTCCGTGCTCGGTTCGACCGCCCTTTACGCTGTAGGTGATGAGAAAAAACAAAAGAATTGGAGGGGGTACTCTTATTTTGAGCAATTCATTCGATAGCAATTAGGATAGCAATTTTGAAGGGGGGGGGCCAAATGTGCCCATCTAACGTAATCCGGAGTGTTTTAAGATGTTTTGACATTGATTTTTGAACATTGATCCGGGGGTTCGACCATATTCCTCTATTAGCCTTAGCGGTTTTTGGGGTTCCATGTGGTGCGTTCTCAACAGGGGAGACATTGATTTCTCGTCTAAAGTGGGTACCAAGGGCCTACCTGGCTTTGTGGACGGTCACGTTTACAGCGCGGTTTCGGGTGACGCGCTGTGATGTGAGGAGAAGGCCAGACTTATATTTTGGACTTTGTCTTAAGACATTGGTTATTGAGACGACAACGGAACAAGAGACGACACATGCAGAGATCTTCGAACGAACTCATGGACCGTATTGTTTTGGTGGTCCGACACTGTGTTCGGGTTGTGGTAAGATTCCGTCAGCCTGAGCCTAGGACTCCATTTTGATGGTGGTGTCTGGCACAGTGACGGTATCATTGGAGGTGGGAGAGAGAAGTTGTTGTGAAGTTGTAGAACTCCTCATCCAGGTTGCTTTTGCTTTGCGTCATATTATAACACCAGGAAAGGGATGGACATGGAACCAGCTACATGAAGTTCCATGCAACAAGGTTCCATAAGTTATTGGTTCTGAGATCTGAGTGATGGGTTGGTTGATCCCTGAGAAACTCATGAACGCTACACTTCAAATCATCATGCTGCTAAAACCTCACCTGACGTACTGAAGGCATCTGTGGAATACTCAGCCAGTATAGTCCCCATGATCGGCTTCTCTAGAAGATCCGATTGCAGCCTCCAATCAAGGCCCCCTCCGTTTTACAGGACTGCTTAGTATCAGCGCCAACATGGACTGAGAATTGGTGGGTTTCGACAAGTTTCGACCATTTTCCTCTACCTTTTGGATCCATTTGGTGGTTTTTGGGGGTCTGTTAATCTGCCGGAGGGTATCATTTGGTTCTTTTCCGATCGCCTCCGTCGCCTCTGGTCACTGGTCGCCAGGGTGGTATCTTGGGCAATGAGAGCCACCTGGAGTTCGCCCACGAGACTCTGGAGAAAGGTGACGAGATGGCGGTTGACGTAGAAGGTGTTCGTTTTTGTTGATGTTCGGTTAAAGCACGGGCCAGGGTGACGATCGTTTTTCCTTTGTCTGCCTGGGTCTTGGTGTGTCTGGACCTCAGGTGACGTCGCCTACTTCCCCAACGGCCGGGCCTACTGGTTCCGTGAGGCAACGGGGAAGCACCCTGCAGAGACCATCAATGTCTTCAACGTGGGCGCCTGGGCCATCAGAGCCGGTCGACGGTGGGTCGCATCAGAGCCGGTCTTGGTCGACACCTCGCAGTCGGACTGGTGACCGACATGAATGTTGGGGGGTGGTTAGTTGGCATCAATGGAGGCGGCCATCTCCCAGCCCCATGGAGTGTTTGGGGAATTTCTCAACCATGACACCATGATGGCGAGAACAGTGGAGGTTTGGGAGGTTGTTTGGCGCGCAGCATCCCAACTGCCGAGGTACAGTGTGGTTGGGCATCCTCAGTGAAACAACAAAATGACTTCTATATCCGACTATCCGACATGGCTTTTAGGGCACTATTTGCATTGTTGAATTTATGGAAATCACCTGCAACCCTTTGGGACGCGAACAGGAATTCCGGCGCTGGACAACGAGGCCTCAGCGTGCGCCCGAGGCATTTGGAAGAGCATCGAGCTGCGGCAAGCCGTTTCCGAGATGCCACGGCTCGTCGTGATGTCCAACCTCCATCAAGCGGAGTTCGCGCGTCCCAAGATGTTTTGAAGTTCGCGCGTCCCAATTGGATGCGACTCGATGGTCCCGTCCAGGCGACTCACGAAAAGGTGAAAGACAGAATAAAGATTCAAAGAGCCAGAAACAATGGATGTGGTGAAGAAGACGTCCTGTGAAGAACCTCAAGTGGCCGGTCATAAAATGAGTTGCTGCCACTCCAATAATAGTATAATAAGCAGGTTTTGTTTGTTGCGTTTGCATACCTGGAAGTGACATATAGTGACATAGGGTTCATCATTGCGGCATGGTCAAAGAGGATATCATTTGTTGTAAGGAAAGAACCCTGTGAGCCACCAAGTGAGTTGCAATCTGGACTCCTTCAGCAAATCCGAGATTGACCTGAGCGGTCAGCTTGGGATTTATGGACAGTCACAAGTGTAGGCAGAGTAGGTGAGGATTTATTGTTTGTAGCGTATTTCATTCTTGTACAGTCCTGGGCTCTAAATCCGAAGGATGCTTTCATGTTCTTCTCGTTGTGTGGATCCCTATTTTGGACCCACACACGTAGAGTCCTGGTCTTGAGATCTATCTCAAACCCAGTACAGGTTGAAGTGCGGAAAATAAGTCAGATCCATGAGCCGAAGACCACGAGTCACATGAGATTTGCGAATCTTTTTTTTTTGGATTGTTCAGTTCAGGGCAACTTCTGGGAGTCTTGCGCGGAATACGTTCAAACACATCCACCTTGTCCGCTCCATAATCCGAGAACCTGGCCATCCTCCGCTCAACCTTGTTTTGGGGATTCCTTGGACAAAGATCTCGAAACAAGCATCAACAACGAAACAAAACAAAGAAGTATTACTGCATGTATTGTTATTAATTATGGAATTATGGTGGTTCATCGGGTCACCGGGATTTGTTTTGCGGTTTGCTTGTGCATATTTTTTTGTGAGTGCGAGATGCCAAGTGTTTGCTTGACAACAATGACACTCACTTCTCACTTCGACCTCCAGCTTGCCTCACCTGATGTCCAATTTACCGCCAGGTACATCCATGCGGGTGCCAAGCGCGTGCTGTGTGCCTCCAATCGCGACTGCCTCGAGGTGAGGAATTCAACGCTTCGCCCTTCGTGAAGTGCTTCGCTTGAGATGATGCATTTTCATGTCTCATCTCCATGTTTTCATGTTGGTAGTGTGTCGGAGGTCAGTAATTGTGTTGTTTTTTGTTCCACCTATATCCAAACAAGCATTATTACTTATTTGTTTAATGACTACAAAACCAGGTCAACCTTTCTTTTCATGGTCTTGGAAGGTAGACCGGGTCGATCCATTTCGACTGCACAGGTCACCGCCTTTCTGAATCCCGACCGCACGTTGGTGGCGGTGGTCTTGAATCAGACGAAACACTACCGGGACCTGATGGGGGACGCAGGGGACGGCACCGGTTGGGGGAACCAACGTGTCACCTACCTTTGTCAGATCCCTTCAGCTATACGATCAATCCCATGGTCGCATGGGTTGTGATTCACCAACCTTGAGGATCCAATGAGTTACAAACCTGGTCCGTGTGACCAGAGCAAACCATAGATTTTGCATACGGTTGACTAGGCGGTGTCCATTTACAAGTGACTTTGAACGTCGAGCGTTCTGCTGAGGACGGGTGTGTTTGTCAACAGCAGGTGTAAAGACAATTAAATATTACGATAGAAACACAATCTTTGCATGGCATGTGTTGGATAAATATTAACGTTTTGCCTATGATCAATAGCAATCCCCAATATATGACAGCAATCAAGATGATCAAGGGAATTAGTTAAACAATTGCATCTCCATTTCAGCTTGGCTTACAATTAGGAAAGTGGTCATATTACAATGATCTAAGTCAGAATTTTGACCCCAGGACTGTTGGCCGGCCAATCCTCCTGCCCAAAACACTCAGCAAGCATGACGCAAAGATACACGATTTTTCTTTGTGGCTGGCTGTTTGGCAGGACATGTGCTTGCTGGTGGAAGGAAAGGTGGCTCGATGCGGCATCCTACCTCACTCAATCAACACCTTCAGCCTCAAACTGAGTGAGTAGGGACCGCTTCTGTCTTGGATCCAAAAAGAACGTCCAACCAGGGGTCACGTTCGGGGTGTTCGTTCGGTGTGCCCAATGATCCACCTCACCCACCCTCACCTCGATGTGACTTCTGGAAGTTCTGCTTGACACCACCGTGACCGGGTCGTCCGCTCCCGGTCACCCTGACCGTGACCCGCGTTTGAGGAAGACCGACCGGTCTGAGGAGTCCACACCCGGTCCGTTGTTTCTTTTTGTGTTGCTCGGGTCACAGAACGAGTGGGCCAGTTGGATGTTCGAACGAATCAAACGAACCACCCGGCGTCACGTCACTGGAACAGTGGAGCAAGCAATGGAAGTGGATGGTGTGGCTCTCTGGATGGCAAATTTTCTGTAGGTCCACTTCCATGATGATTCTTAAGTGTAAACAATTCAACAGCATTGCTATGAAGCCCTTCACTTTCGTAGCCGTTTCATGCAATTTCAGGCCAGACTTGCGCATCCTCCGGTCAGACGGAGTGGAGTAGAGTGGGGTCGACTCCGAGTCGACTCCACGAGATCAGTCGAAGACGAGACGAAGACGGACGTGTTTTCCTCCCCATTCACCGTCGTGGTCCCGCGAACCCGTGGGGCAACGGCAACACCTATTGTTTCACCCTTTACTAAAAAAGGAAACACAAACCTAGCACATGGTTTGAAAAGCTGGTTCACTATGCCACCAAACTTAGCTTGATCTACCTTTCTTGGGGCGAATTGTTCTGCAATACGATCCACCTTTCTTCCTTTCTTCAACCCCTTTGATGCCACCAATCCCTCATTCCATGGTCCTATTGCCAATTCAGTTGTCCTTCCCCTTCTCAAACTCCAATCAACTCCCTAGAAGAGATTCTGGATCCCTTATCCAGAAGAGATTCAGTCTGGGGGACCCTCCAGTGTGTTCAGACCTTGTCCGACCCTTCCAAATAAGAAACCTTCTAGAGGAAGGTCATTAATCCGCGGTATGCATTGGGCATGGTAGACCGTTAGCCTGTACCATCAGTATAGGCCCATTATATGAATGCGGGTGACAGGTGCAAGAAAGCCCAGGACAAGATTATAGATGTTATAGTCAGGGATCAATGAAGATGCTTGAGCGCACAAACGTATAAAACATGCATGAGCCATAACATTAAAAAGGCAGCTACATATTACACACCTCATGGTATATATATATACATGCCTCATGACTCCCCCGAGCTAACTTCAGTAACTTCAGGTTTCTTTTGGATCGGACGATCGGCTGCCCGCCGAGCTATCGGTCCGCCTCATGCCTTAACAAAGCTGGAACCCTCGTCTCCAAGAGACAAGTACCAAGTCTTCCACATGATATTATATAACTAATATTACTGTTTGAACGGTCCGAAGCCGAAGACCACTGCGGAAGGTGCGAGATGGCGCTTTGCGGTGCTTTGGGAGAGTGAAACAAAAACACCCCTGATCAAACCTGGTGCTCCATCCACCAATCAGATCCAATCAGCCCATCTTTTGAGTCTTCAGTCTTGACGGATTGTCTCGTCTCACGAGGCAACGAAGAGTCCAATGCTGATTTCATGGTGTGCCTTCGCTTCATGGAGTGAACTTGAGAGATTAGATGATGTCGGAAACAGCGATTCGAACATCTCCAGGCCCGTTTTTTCTTGTTGATGTTCTTGATGTTCCAGGCCCGAATAGGCCTTAAATGTGTCACAAGCTTGTGCCTACCTAGAGTACTCCCGCGGAAGTTGTGGTGTTCTCGTGTGTTGTCGTTCCGTAGTTCTCCTGAAAGAAATCACTGGTATTTTGTGAGCCTGCCCAGCCGGAGCATGGGCGGGGTTGCATTGACAGGTATAGAAATTGCACTTCAAAGCAGGGCAGTGTTTGTGTTGCCTCCTTACAGTACATAAACAAATGGATGCAAAAGGTGAAACACAAATTATGCATGGAAGATATGATTGCTCTTATTTCGGCTCAGTGAAATTGAGCTTGCTGCAAGCTGCTTGCAGTCCCAAAGGAAAAGAACTACACACCCACCCAGTTGTAATCATAGTGCGCACACACACACACAGAGCACATGTTTTTCTTTTTTCCACTTGTTCTGATTCTGTATTTTCCTTCCAGGTCCTACCATGACTCGCATGTGCCGCATGGATTCGACTTTGTTTGTGAAGACAAGTCCGACGACCCGTTGTCCTTCTCGGTCCGCACCTCCGAGGCACCAGGTGCTCCGCAGATGTAGCACTTTGGACAAGGCGGAGACGCCACGCCGTGCGGAGACCGCACGCGGTTTGGGAAACGAAACGCGGTGTTCGAAACGAAAAAGAGGGTTGGAGGACACGGTTGGAGCTTAGTACTCCCAGTTTTGTTGAGTCGGTTGCTTTCTGTTAGGAGGGTTCAACTTGTAGCCCAAGGAGTTTCACCATGTCCCAGATCTCTTTTGGAACCGCTGTTGGAAGACAATGGTGATCCAATTGTGTTTTGTGCATTTTGGTTGGGCAAAACAAGGCGTCCGGAACTCAGCACTGTGTATAATATGTTACTTGCAATTGTTCGTCACAATAGCATGAACAAGTGTTCCGATGGCAGCCAGGGATGCCGAGTTTGCCAGTGCCAAAGCAGGGTGGTTTATTCCTACCCTGTTTGCAAGAGTGATGATCGCTTTCAGAACAAGTGTTCGTTTTGAGCAGTACAAAAGGATTTACAGCTATCACACTAGATCTGAGTTACTCATTAAACGAACGTCCTCTCTTTCGTTGCTCAACCAATTTTGAAAAGAAAACGGTTCCGCCGAGCTGAAGGACCGTGTCACGTGGATATGGTGGATACTCTCGATACAGTACTATCGTTTGGTGGATACGTAGTCTCCTGCACAAGGAGTTTGCAGGGGCTCCTGGCCCCATAAGCAACCCGGAATAAGCTATGGCACGAAGAAGCGGAGTGTTTTCTTTGTTGTTTTGTTTGATCTTTCTCTTCAGATGTTTCATAGCCAACGCCAAAACCAGGATCAAATGTTGTCAGATGAGTGATCTCTTCAGGCTCAGCATTACATCAACCAATTGCACCAGAACGTCGGAAAGCTCGGAAGCCTCAGAACGACGGCGACCGGATGGTCACGGGACGCCTGCGGAAAGCGGATGCAATATTTGAAATCCACTTCATATGTGACATTATGTGACTAACTATGACTGACATATTTTTACTAACATGTTGGGGGGGTCTTTGAGAAGGGGGATCTCTTTAGCATGTTCTACGATTGTTTTCTTCAAGTTCTGGGGATTGAAATTGAATGGAGATCCCGGAAGAATATTCTTGATTCTTTGGGATTTCATATTCAGAACTTCACCTCTTTCCCAATTTATGCGAGGTTGCATGGGGGGGTGAGGGCGGACATTTAATGGAATTTGATTTCGATAGCGTTGAGAGTGAATATCTATAAGTCCGTGAAAGACTGAAAGACCCGTCAGGAAGGGAGTGGAAACGATGCAAGAAAAGGAGGTGGCAAAGCGGGAAGTTGTCCAAGTAAGTACAGACAGCAAAGCTTGATGAC